TCCCTCTCCAACCCTGAACCTCGTTCCCTGCATAATCCCCGCCTTGACTCTCCAGGACCCCCTCATCGCTCCGTGTGACCCATGCTGTGCTTCCAGCCTGAACCCCGAGCTCATTGCCGGGCGCCCCTGGCCGCCCTCCCCCCCACAAACACCCCTCACATCTCTCTCAGCGTGTCTTGGTGCTGCTCGTGGAGTTCCCAGGATGCTCCTGGGTCGAGTTTCCAGCCCACTCTGTTGCCTTCACCGGAGCAGAAGCTTCCAGACTTATTGCCCGACCCTCTGAAATCTCTTCTTTTAGCCATCACAGGACGCACCCGCTTGCTCCTGAGGCTGCTGCCCTGAACGGCCCCACCTTACAGCTGCGAGCGGGCCCTGCTCTCGTCCCCCTTCATCCCTCGCCGCAGCCCGCTGGTCACAGAGCCTGGCCCTGCTGACCCAGGGCTACCCCTGCTCCGTCCCACGGGTGATCACTGCAGGCCCTGGCCCGTGCACTGGGTACGACCCTGTAGGTCAGCCGTGTCACAGGTGAGACCCCCTGTGCCCATGCAGATGCGCCACTGGGCAGTGGCTGGGGTGTCCAGGCTTCACCCTGCACCAGGCCCAGCGCCTCCTCCAGTGAGGCCCCAGGACTCGCCCAGGAACACAGCGTCTGCTGGGCAGAGGGGCCGGTCAGCCCTCGCCCCTGCCTGGTCCCCCTGTGCCCGTGTCTTGCCTTGTCAGGACGTCACGGGTGCCCCCACTGGAGGATCTCCACGTGACCATCGTTCAGACCCAGGAGACTTTGTCCAGGCCTCGCCACAGACCTGTGTGGACCAGGCCTCCGCGAGGGTGGCGTCTGGCTCGAGGCTGCAGAGGGCAGTCGCTGCGCTCCCAGTGGGCTGCCTGGAGGAGGCAGCTGGGTCCCCAAGGAAGGAGAGACCTCATGTCCCACAGAGAAGGCTTCGGGAGAGGAGCCCCCTGATCTCGGGCCTCTGGTCAGCCCCGGCAGGACAGGGCAGGAGATACTAGCAGGCCCCGAAGCCGCCCGCTGGGACGGTCCTGGGGGGAGACCAGGGCACCACGGTCCAGCAGCTGCCCCATACCCTGCCCCGAGCCTGCCCCCGCCCGGAGCCCTGCCCTGCGCCCTGACTCGTGCCCCCAGCCCCACTCCCTGCCTGTTGCCCAGAGCCTGCCCCCTGCCCCACGTCCTTGCTAGAGGACTGGATGTGGGCGTGTGCTGCTGGGCACGGCAGTCTCTGGAACGATCACCTGTGGTCGGGTCCGTGCCTCACCCAACAGTGCTCTAGGCGCTGTGCTGGTGGCCTTGAAGGAGCGGGAGGGACCGTACAGAGGGCAGCAGGCACCCACCCCTCCCAGAAGGCCTGACCATGGCAGTGGACGGAGTCCTGGAGGTAGAGAGGGCAGTGACTCATGGTCGGGGACATGGCAGGCGGCGTCTGCGGGTGGTTGGGTGCGTTGTGTGAGGCTCAGACCCAAGAGCGTCACCCTGAGGGTCCCCTGAGAGAAGGGGGGACGCGGGAGGAGCTTCGGTCCGGCCCAACATCCCAGGGGCAGCCGCGGCCTGTCCGGGCGTGAAGCAGGGCTGCGGGCTGTCGTGGCCACCTTGGTGAGCTCCAGAGAAGGCCGGCAGGAGGCCGAGCAGACACTCAACCGGCCGAGAGTTTCCCTAGAGTGGGGAGCCGCGGTTTGGGGTTGTAGGGCGAGATCGTAGTACTGAGTCCTCAGAGTCCCTCTCAGAATTTTAAGGCAACGACTGTGGAAGCAAAACCGGGCCCTAGGGAGCCTGGCAGCCTGGAAGGCTGAGGGGATGGTGCAGGCGGGACCGAGGCTGACTCAGTGGGGAGAGGAGCGAGTTTGGGGCCCAGCGTCCACCAGCAGAGACAGGAGGATTCTAGAGCGTCACTGTTCCTGAAACCAGGCACCAGCGGAGCCGGACGGGGCCAGAGGTGGGGAGGACGCTTGCTGGCACGTAGCTCACCGGGTTCCATTCCCAGGGCCCCATCTGGTCCCCAGGGCCACTGGGGTGAGCCCTGAGCACCGCCGGGTGTGGCCCAAAAAGAAAAAAATAAGAGAAGAGAAGAAGGCTGATGCACAGAGGAGGCGGGGGAGGGGCTTAGGGCAGCAGAGTCGGGGGCTGGCGAGGTCAGGGGGGCTGGGGAGGTCACTGGGGAGGTCATTGTGGGGCTGGGGAAGTCATTGGGGGCTAGGAAGGTCATGGGCTGGCAAGGTCACTGGGAGGCTGGCGAGGTCATTGGGGGGCTGGGGAGGTCATTGGGGGGTTGGGGAGGTCAGGGGGCTTCCTCATGAGAACTGAGGCAGGTGGTGCCCCCCCAACCCCCATCTCGATCCTGGCTCCCAGCAGTGCCGGAGCAGAAGCCCCGAGGGCATCAGGAGTGTGAAGGGCCGTGGGGGCTGGGGGGTTTCCATCACATGGAGGGAACTGGCTGCTCACAGGGGGTGTCCTTGGCCGGCAGGGTAAGTGGTGGAGGCTTCGTCCACG